TCTTAGGAATTTTGTCAATATTTTCAAAGAATTTTGTATATTACACGGAGTAATTCTTTTAACAGAGGTGTAAAATATTCCTTAGTAACTTTTTACTGTGTCAAAGAGCATTTTGGAACACATACGGTGGAAGAAGCGTATCAGGTGAATCGTCCGTCATTTGAACTACTGAGAAGCCAAAGTGATTAACTCCACTTTTCGATACTATTCCAATTTTAGTGAACAAAACACACATGTGAAATTTAGCAAAATCTCATTTGTGAATAGATATTTAAAACTTCCGCTTAAGACACGACTAAGTTCGAGAATTCACAGAGACGGGTACAAAAGCTCGAGGAAGCACTTGTTTCGCAAGATGCAAAGAACGTACGCGTAAATATTCATATGCAAATGCAAAGAAATAAGATAGTTAATGAGGAATGTTTGAGAGCCTGGCTGCGCGTCTAAACGTACGTGCATACGTGATAGAGTTGTCGAGGATCAGCTTGGAAAATGCGAGTTTAGAAATGAATTTTGTACTTTATGAATGGTACATTGTTTGGGGGCATTGTTTGGATAATTGCACGGGTAAATTGGCAATTATCCCGTGGAACAATAGCGGCATGATCCGGTTGTAACGTTCTCATTGAAATCTAAGCATGGATGAATGAAAATTCAGCGCGTGTTACAAGAACTGGCTGGCTAATCGTCGCAAATGTGCCGCGAGTATTTGCATATTCGGGTCAAGCTGGTTATCAGTCGACCGTGTCTATGCGAGATTATTCACGCGGCCTCTGATTCCGTGCGAATATTCAGGCGTCACGGGGTAATAGTGACAGTACCGTTGGTATGCTCTAGCTTCACAAAGGGAATGGCAACGACCTGGTTCGTTGCTTTTTAAAAATTCCCCGTCATAATTCAACGCAACACCAACGGAGAATCTCATCCCTTTCTCATTCTGCCGCGACGGCTAACCGAGCACGACAAAAGCATAGAAAGTAAGAAAAATTCTAGCTGCTTATCGTGGAAATTCGTGTATATAACCCGAAGCTGATAATAAAAATGTAGGAGGAAGTGAGGCAGAATGGATGGGAACGGGGACAAAAAGCTCTGGCTCTCGAGCGTTTCACCGCGAGAAAAGGTGGACAGAAGATTATGGGCTGAGAGCGGCAATAACAAGGCGCGACAAAATAAGAAGAGAGCTGCATAAAAAGAGCAGAGAAGAGGAAGAGAGGTGCGCGGCTCGAACGACGGTGAGCCGCCTAAGCTGAAAACGGAAAAGCAACACGACACAACGAACAAAAAGTGTGCGAAGCGCGACCGGAAAGAAACAGAGAGAGAGAGAGAGAGAGAGAGAGAGGTAGGTAGGGGAAGGTGGTCTGGGGATCTTAAGGAGAAGCGGAAGAAACGAGGGTGCGCGATGGACGAGGGAGAGGCACGAGCAGAGAAGCTAAGGGAAGTAAGAAAGGAGGAGAAACCAGGCTGACGCGTAATTGGCCGGAGCATGAAGATTCCGTACGTGCTGCGTGGGACAGAGGAAAATAAGCTGCGTCCTAAATGGGGAAACACAGGTGGGTACGTAACGTAATCATACGGACCGCGACGAAGATAGAATCGGCGTATGTGCCTGTATGTGTGTGTGTATGTGTGTGTATGTATGGACCGGAGAGAACGGCCTCGATGAACGTCTCTACTTGAATTTCAGCCACGTATACACGTACAGGAAGGGCGGTGGAATCGGTGTAAAATCATGGAAGGAATTAAGATCGCGGAATAATTGGAGGTGGGGTTGATGGAACGAGGACGCTGAGCGACGAGCAGAGCCCCATAAACCTACATTTAAATTCAATCACGGGGGAGAAGCGGCGAAGCGGAAGCCACCGTTCACCGAGAAGAAACTAAAAGTGGAAATCCTTTTGCGAGCTACCTACATATATACACCTCCTCGACGAACATGAACGCAGCGCAGTGCTGCAGGGAGAGCCATGCATATAGGGGATGTACAGGGGCGAAAGAGTAGCGGTGGAATCAAACAAACAAATAAACAGATATCCAAGAGAAAGAGAGAGGGTGAGCGAGGGAGGTGAAAGGAGAGGTGTAGGAGGGCAGGTAGCAGCAGCAGCAGCAGTAGCCAGCAGCAGTAGAAGGCAGCAGGGTAGAAAGCAGGTGAGGAGAGCTACGAGGGAGGAGCAAGAGCCGAGGGATTCGCGAGAATAGACGAAGAGACAGATAGGGGAAGAGAAGGAGAGAAGGATGAGGTGGTTGAAGGTGAGGGTGGCGTGAAAGGTTGGAGGGAGGCGATGACGTCATAGTTGAGGGTTGCCCGGGCAACGGGGAAGCGGTTCGCCGCCGCGTCGGGACACCGTCGTGCGTCGCCACCGCCGCCGCGACGTAAAAATCAATTTGGACCTTGGCTAGGTGACCGTTCGCTCGGCGCTGCGTCGTGGCTGCTCCGGCGGCTCGAGGCTCGAGAGCAGCACGCTTCCCTTCCGGAGCTGGCGGCCACCTCGCCACCGAGTGAGCGACCGATACCGCACCGCGAGTAGCAAGCACAGCTCAGTCGCGAGTCGCCAACCGAGCGGGTACGCCAGACGGTAGAGAGAACGCGTCTGCCAGAGCCGACGCGCACACCTCCACGCGACTATTCTCTCTCCTTTGATCATCGGTGGTGTTGTCTCCCGACCAACGGTCACACCGCTACCTCTCTCACTTCGACACAACCGCACGCTTCTGCGTTGTTCACGCGGACGATGATCCACGAGGAGGAGGAGCAGCAGCCTCTTCGTCTCTCGCCACGCTGACCGGAGAGAATCGCGGCGCGGTACACGCAGCTTCCTTCGGATCATGTACCACCGCGATACGTCGTAGACCATAGAGAAAGAGAGAGAGCGAGAGAGAGAGAGTATAACCGCTGTTCAACGAACTTTCCTATGCGTGGATACGATGAGATTGCGTGACGGGATAACCGTGAGGACATCGAGGGAGTTGGAGCTGTTGTAAACAGAAAGGAGAGGAGAAGCGCTCCCGGCCGGGCTGTGTACTGGCCGAGGGCACGAGAGGAGGGTCGCGGGAGCACCCGGCTTCCTGATCTTCCTCCTAACGCGGTTGCTGTTCTGTGCTCTCACTGTTCGTCGAAGGTGTGTCGTTTCAAGAAAGGAGAAAAATTACATCTTCGTACATTCGAATACTGGATTTAGTTAGAGACCTGAAGAATTTCTAATTATTTCGAACAGGTAGTTCTTTTTTTCTTTTCGTAGCTCGAACGGTGTTTCCCGGTTTTTTTTTCTTTTTTTTTTTCGTTTTTCGATCGTGTTGGAAGGTTTCACGGGAGATACGTAGAGATGAACAAGCCGCGCGAGAAGGAGAGATTTTCGGGAGTATCGTGGAAATCACGACGAGATATACGGGTGATCGAGCTGCGTAGAGAGTAGCGGTGTTTCCAGCTCGCGGAAGCAGGAGGGCTGGTGCCTGAGAGTTTCTGGCGTGTCACGAGGAAGGAGCCACGGTGACGCATGCGACGTGCCGTCTATCGCGCGAGCTGTGCGTCGTGGAAAACATCTGCGCGACCGGTGAGAGAAGCTTTCAACTCGTGTGCCTCCCCGCCGCTCGCGTATTACGTCGAACGGAACCAGCGTGGTCCTTGCGTGCTCTACGGGATCCGCAACGGCCGTCACCGAGCGGGTAAAAAAAGCTTGCGCGTGCCGAGGAACGATACAGGCTGAATCACACCAGCCTCCTCGGCACTCCGATCGCCTTGTGAAACGTAATCGCGTACGATGCGATCAGAGGGACCAGTTCGCGCGAGACACGTCGCGGTTACCGTGGATACTCGCGTACCACTCGGACGTTGAAACGTTCTTTTCTTTAACCTGGTGAAAATTATTCTCTTCCAACGAGGAGGATTCGTCCTGGAGAACACCGGAACCTCGGAGAATTGAGAAGGCTCGACTGCAACCTGAAGGCAACCCTCTCCTCTTGAAAGCGTAACAGACTCTTGCAACACAGAGAGATTTCGAGCGCCGAAAGTAGCATCGTCGTGCAGCCTCGTTCTCTTTCGAGGAAGATAAACAACGATGACCCGGTGGACAAGAATTAATTGACGAAGGGAGAGAGAGAGAGAGAGAGAGGGTGCGTTCAGCCAACACGGAGAGCCTCTTCTCTAAAGCCTCGCATCGATCACTCGTCGCAGCAACGCGCGTCAACCATCCAGGAGTCGACTTCTCTGGTGAAAATTAATTCGAATATCACGCTTCAGGGTTCGACGCCGTACGATTTGGAAAACGGTGAAAATGTTGGAAACTACCGAGGTAGCCAGAACTCGATAGATGGTTTCACGCGTGAAGTGCACCAAGTCGATAGAAAACTCTCCTTATCCGTGAGCTGGACCTTCCATCTGCTCGAGAATGTAGCAGGATCGTCCTGATGATTCTCGAGGATACTCTGGAGTAAGGCTCCGGATCATGGTTGTTAATTCGACGCTGTGAAAGAAGCAGAGAGAGAGTGCGACGAGGGGAGAACAGGTGGAAGATCTTTGGTACGACGATACCGATCTCTCGACAGAGTGGAGAAGAGGAAGAAACGAGCACGGAAACGGTATCGATGATGGTGGAAGGCACGTTGCCAGGAGGCGATTGGCTGCCTTGCTGCTTGCTAGGTTCCTCTGCTACGAGCTCCTCTACCAAATAATCGTACGGTCGCGGACAAAGTGGACAAGAAGTGAAGAGGGAAAGAAAGAAACTCTCTGAAACAAAACTAT